AACTCAGGGAGGGCAGGGTGGAAGTTACAGAATCTTCTTGGCCTGGGGCCCGGAACACTTTGCAGCTATCTCGGGAAGTCATGGTACAGTTAGCACCTTTCTGCAACTGTCAAGCAGGACGTTGGTCAACCAGGTGAAGCAGGGTGGGGGGAATGAGAAAAGGTCGGAAGTTTCTCAGGGCTTGTCTCCAACATCTCCCCCTTCTCTGTATACAAGAACAGGGATAGGGAGGTTACCGTGACCCGCTAATGGTGTCCCAAAGAAGGGCTCATTTTGGCAGCCAATTATTTTTGGTTAAGAGTAAAATTTTGGATCCAAAGGAGCAAACCATCAGAGAGGCGAGCGTTCCCCAGAGTAGGTCAAGCGTTGTCACTCATACGCCATTGGTTTTGACAAGGGTATTTAGATTGACCATAGTACAAGGGGCACAAACGGGGTCTGAGCCTGTTAGAAGGGCAGTGCTGGACCCTTACCCGTCATTGGATCAGCCTCCTCCCGGCGAGGTCGTCCTGTCTTAGGTGGGCCAAGACTTATCCACCCATTCCGTCTCTGACTTACCAGACCACTCACTTTGTGGAAATGTAACACATCTTGCTCTCAATAAGACCATCAAAGCTCCATAAGGATCCTGGAAGGAATATGTTTAGTAGCCAAATAGTATATGAGGGGTCACGGAAACCTGAGTTATTATTTGGAGGGGCGGGACCAGAATTTCCACCCCCGGGTTGATTTTTGTAGGGAGGTGAAGTCTAAGGGTCGAGATGTGGGGTTGTTTTGGTCCTTTGGTCAACGGTAGACTCTTCTTCTGTGGCGAGGCGATGGTAATGGGCTCCCACCGGCTTGATTGCAGAATCCACCTGATTCTTAACAAAGCTTGTCAATCGATTAAAGGCCCAGGGGCCAAAAGAGAGAAGCAAAAGGATACCTACAAAAGGTCCTAGCAGACTGGGAAGCAGAGTGGTTAGCCATGGGGATGTGGAAAACCAATTTTGATACCAGGACTCTTGTTTCTCTCTGTTCCATTTTCGTTCCTCCAAACTGGAGCGAACCTTATCGATACTGCTTTGCACTAAACCTGTTTTGTCAGTGTAAAAGCAGCATTCTTCCTTGAGCGCAGCGCAGAGTCCACCTTCCTGGAGAAAAACCAAATCTAGACCGCGCCTGTTTTGTAAAACTACCTCAGATAAGGACACCATAGAATCTTTGGATCAGGACAAGCATCTCCAGGTTCTCCCAGCGTTCTCCAGCCCCTACCTGCTGCCTCGCTGGCTGGCAACTCTCTATTGACAACCCTTTACCCTAAATTTTCCAGGGCAGAGGCTTCCCTTCCTCTTGACCTTGCAATCTGACCATTTTGTTGCTATAATTCTTCTCTCTTTCAACCCCTTGCATGACAACCAAGAGCTGCTTCCAATGAGCCTAAATTTATATACTTTAACTTACCTTATAAAAAGCAGCCCAGGTTCCTCATTTTTTAATTATAGAAAAAGGGAGGAATGTTAGTATTTTGGAACACAACCTGCTCCTGGGTTACCCAGCAACTTAGGATGTCATCATGTGTCACCGGCCAGGTGGCCACACCTGGAAGGCATGGTTGACTTGCCCCTTAAAGGGCCAACCCCGACACGTGGTCTCTGTCTCTCTCTCTCTCTTACTCTATCTCTTATTCTTTCTCACTCTCTTACCTTCTCTCACTCTATCTCTTACTCTTTCTCACTCTCTTACTTTCTCTCTCTCTCTCTCTGGGCCCCATCCTTCTTTTCCTTTCTTTCTCTCTCCCCACCATGTCCTGTTTCCCCCACTCCCTCCATACCCTCCTAATAAACTTCCTGCATAGACTATCGGTTGACCAGCCTCATGCTTTTTTAATAGCACTTGGGAGAACTGCACCCCGTCTCTCTCAGCTTGTGTTTGTGTTTGTGTTTGTGCAACCCGAGCTTCTCAGACTGTGCTGCTTTCTCAGCTCTAAGCCTGGATTCTAAGAGCCCCAAGTTGGATGCCAAAGTGTTGTTGAATAGTTATTAATTCTAAAAGGCTCTTCTATGACCCAGCTGGCTCCCCACTAACTGAGACAGAGACCTACTGATATATTTAAACAAGCTTTAAGCACAATAACTGGGCAGGTGTGACTTAAACTAATTTTCTAAGCTAGTCTGGCTGCTTCCCAGCTGCACTCCCCAAGTTACTTGCCAAAATTCATCCTTTCTGGGCTGGATTCGCTCCACTCTCTCCATCTTCCTTCTTTCTTCTCCTTCCCTACCTGCAAGGCCCGGCTGAAGCCCCGCCTACTTCCCTTCTGCCCAGTCACAGACTGTTCAGCCTCTCTTCCTCAACCAGTAGGAGAACAATGAGGAGCAGAGTTTACCAAACATCATTCAATGTGCAGCGAGAGAATGCACCCTCTGGACTGCGCCCAGATCTCAGGCAGAGAATGCACCCTTTGACTGCACCCAGATCTCAGGCAGAGAATGCACCCTCTGGACTGCGCCCAGATCTCAGGCCCAGAATCGCGTTTGTGTACCTAGCACTGGACCAGCCCCATCAGTTCTACAAGTTCTGGCCAAAGAAATGGGCTGTGGGGCTGGGGCAGCAGTGGGGAGACAGGGATCACATCCTCTTGGCTTTCTGAATGACGGAGAATCAAGCTTATAAACTACAGAACATTTCCAGACTGAAAAATGAGCAAACCTAGCAGGAGAGCCTCCTTGGAGATGGTGGGAAGGTTTAAGAAGAGGAACCAGAGCAAAGTGCCCTGGCTCTGTGAGAACAAGTTAGCAGGCAGAGTGCCCTGATGAGAGGCTGTCCTTGGGAGCTGAGGGATGACTCGCGGTTAAGGGCGCGTGCTGCGCTCAGAGTGGCTGGATTCCATTTCCAGCAGCCATGTGGCAGCTTACAACGGTCTGTGGCTCAGGTCCCTGGGAATCTGATGCTCTTTTCAGCCTCCCCAGGCACATGGCACACAGACATGCATGCAAGCAAACACTTCCAAAATAATTAGCCAAAAAACAGTTCTTTGGCACAAATGCTACACACACGCACCCACACACAGAGTGAGTGCTGCTGGGGGTGGAACCAGGGCCTCATACACACCAGGCAAGCACTCTACCACAGAGCTGTCTCCGGGTCTTAGTCTCTTAGGACAGGGTTTTCCTACGTGGCTCAGGCTGGCTTGGAACTCACTGTAGAGCCGAGCCTGGCCTTGAATTTGTGATCCTCCTGCCTGTGCCTCCAAGGTGCTGGGGCTGCAGACAGGTGCGTGCCCACTTGCAGCTTTCTAGGCTACCCTAGAAGCCAGCTTGCAGTCTGTGTCCTCTGCGGCAACCCTCATCCTGACGGGAGCCTGGCTTGCTTCCGGGAGCAGTGCTTTCCAGAGCCTCTTAAGCACCTCTGGCCCTTGTTACTCCCATGCCACACAGCCTCCTCATGACTCTGAGGCCAGCGGAGGACACCCGCACGCTGTGACCCCTGCTGCCCTGACATGGTGTCTTCCGAATCCTTTGCCTCCGGCTGTCGTGCCAAGAGGTCTCAACCTCAGCTTAACACATAGGCGATTGGAGACCAAACAAAGAGAAAGACCGATTGCTTTCTGGTCACATCAGCACATCTGGAGGGGGAGGGGAGAGTGTCAGAGCCACCGAGGGCCCAGGAAAAGGTGGTGTGTACTGGGTGTGTAAGCTGGATGAAAGAGGGCACGCTTCCTTGGAAGCTGGCATTTACCAAAATGTATTCTAGATAAGTTTTGTGGGAGGCCAAAGACAGGGCTAAGCACTTAAAAATTCCTGCTCTTCCTTCATGTCAGGAGGCTCACAACCCCCTGTGAGCTTCCTCGGGGACCCAGTGCCTTCTTCTGGCCTCCATGGGCACACACATAGGCACACATGGGGGGGTGGAGAATAAATCAGCTTTATGAATGAGATGCACAGTCGCTTTAAGTGGATGGGAGGGCAGGAGAGGTGGCTCAAAGGTTAAGGGCACTGCCTGTTCTTCCAGAGGACCCGGGTTCAAGTCCCAGCACCCACATGGCAGCTCACAAGTGTCTGTAACACCAAGATCTGACACCCTCACACAGGCACACAGGCAGGCACAACATCGGTGCACATACAAGGTAAATACGGTTTTTAAAGTGGCTGGGAAGCAGAAAGAAAAACAGCTTTAACATAGCGGAGAACTTTCACATTATAACACCTTGTGAATGTCTGGAGGCCTCCCTCAGACCATCTTTGCCTCCCCCACAGCCTTGAAAGGCGGCAATGTCGAACTGGGGGGGTGTATTGTTAAAAAAAAAAAAAGTGTTTAAAAAATAAAAACAAATTTCATTATTTTAAAATCTTCTAAAGTGCAAAAAGTTAAAAACGACGTGAGATTCCAGCCCTAGTCGCTTATATGTTGTTTCATGCCCAGTTTTCCCAGTGCGGGTGTGCGCGCGTGCTTGTGTGGCTGTATGTGCACGGGAAAGCGGAGGTTGTCCTCCGCGCCTGCCCTCAACCGCTCTCCGCGGGAGGGTTTGGAGTCCTGGTGAACTTGAGCCTCTGGGGCTTGACGAGGCTGTCCGCCCAGGGTGCCTGCGGTGTGGCCCACAGCCACCTCTAACACTCCCTCTTTAGCTTTGTCTGGAAACAGGGGAGAGCGTCTTCAGCACTGTTAGCTGCTCCGATCTTAACCACCCTCTCCCCGCCTGGTTTTGTATTTCCCAAAGGTCCTAGGGAAGCTGCGTCACCTTCCACGATAAACGGCCCCATTTCCAAGCCCTGGCAGGATATGCATCCCTCTGCCATCCCACGTTCAGTGGGGGCATCCTTGACTCCCGCGCGAGTTCGAGGCCAGCCTGCGACACCTGAGACCCTGCCTCTAAGAAAGTTAAATAAAATCCCCAAATACGACACATTCCAGAGGAGCGAGGGCTCCCAGGGCGCGTTGCCCTTCGCTCAGCCCTTTCGGGCCCTCCCGGCCCCCGTACGGCGGCCTGGTTTCCCTGGCGACGGTTGCCGGGGCAGCGCCTGCCGGCGTCGGGAAGGGCGGAGGAAGCGCCGGGCCGCTCTGAAGGCCGACCTGGAAGCCGGGCCGCGGTGAGTGCGGGAGGGCCGAGGAGGACGGGAGCCGAGCGGGGCAGAGCCGGGACCGAACCGAGGACAGAACCGGGCCGAGCGGGGCACAACCGGGGCCGAGCGGGTTCCGAACCCGGGACCGAGCCTGGGCGTGGGAAGGGCTAGTGAGGCACAGGGCCGGCGCAGCGACCTGTGCGTTTAACACTGGAGCAGCTGGCACGGGTGGTCACCCACGCCATCCCCGGCTCAGGGGCTGCTGCTGCCTGCCCGGTCTCCATGCCTGCGGCCTCAGGGTATGACGGCGGTGTCAGGTGGCTTGAGGGCCCAGAGTGCTGCCGGGCCTGTCCCCGTGCTCAGCGTCTGGCAGCTCCGTGTGGAGCCCTGTCCCGTGCTCAGCGTGTGGCAGCTCTGTGTGGAG